TGGAGGGCTCTGAAGGTAGGAGCAGGGAGTTTGTGCTGCCTCTGGGAGTGGTCCAGAAGCCAGTATAGGGATTTAATAATGGCCGTAGATAAGATGACAGATGACTGAATGGCACTGACAGCAGAATACGAACAGATGCAGTAGGATCAGAGGAGTACGGTTCGGTTCTCTGATGTATGACCACAGAAGAGAAGACTGCAGCAGCCAAGGAGAATGACCTTCACTATTTTCCAAGCGGGAGCTACTTTGGCTTTAGCCACTTCCACTAAGGTCACTTGGGGGCCCTTCTTGGAGCTGCTGGGAACTCTCCTCTTCCCCATGCATCAGTCAAGTGGCAATACTGTGTCCCAGGCAGCTGGGGGGTGGGCGCATTTGTGCTTCTCCTCCCCACCCACTCCATGCTATTTAAGCAAGGCCTCATCTCTCAGTCACTAAGCATCAGAAGAGAAAATTCTGAAAAGCTGATTTTGTCCTTGGATAGGGATGAATCTGTTTCCCATCTCTGAGAGGAGTCTGCTCTGGCGCTGCAAACTCTTCTACTGCAGGCCCACATTGCTTGCTTTCTCTCACTCATGCATTCACTTTCTCCATCTCCAGCACCTGTGCAGTATTACCAGTGTAGGTACAGACCCAATGTTACTCTCTGCCTCCTGGGCTCTCCTCCCACTCCTGCATCTAACGCCTTCACTTTTTTCTTTGCCTCTTCTCTTTGCCAGTAACCCAGATCACAGCAGCCAGCTCATCATTAAAGCTAACAAGGCAAAGCTAGACAGCTCCTGCTGGGTGAGAGCAGTTAAAAAGCAAAGGGGGAGATGAAAGAGAGGCGGCGAACCACACTTAGCTGACTTGGTGCTGCCACTGGCACTCAGACTTGTAAGGAAAAACACCGGTCTAGGTGAAAGATGGCGAGGGTATGGGCCAAAGTTTTTATCAAGCTAAAAGGACAAAGAAGAAGTATCCCATTTTTAAAGCAAGCAGGGGTGGGCAGCCTGCAGCCTTCAGATATTTTGGCCTGTTACTTCCAGCTTCCTTTAACATTAGTTATAAAAGCTAGGGCTGATGGGAGTTGTAGAACAAAACATATGGAAGGTCCCAATTTGTCGTAAAGGGAGAAATGTCATGACTTGGTGATTGGATTGAACATGGAAACAAAAGCAAAATGGAAGAATGAATAAACTATTTAGTATTTCCCACAAAAGCCCTCATAACACTCCTCTACAGCTGTTGCACATACTGCTTTGACAAGCCCTGATATCTGTACAAATGGTGGTACAGATATCACTATGACTTCCTCATTTATTTCATAATGCACCATTCAGAAACTCATTACTGAAGTGTTCTTTTGCTATCAAGATACAAAAAAGTGTCCACAGCTTCTTGTTAGCATCCTTCAGTTATCTTTGAGCGTATGGATGCAAAGTATAGAATGCAAGATTCCAAACTATGGAAAACTTTCCAAAACCATACATAAGCAAGGATTATGCACAGGAGAGCATGTCCCCAATCATTTTGCAATCAGTGGTGAAAAAGAACCCAGCCAAGAAATCCAAATCTGAAGGAATGCTTTCTACACACACATTAAGGGAAAATACTATGTACCCATCATTTCTGAAATGGCACAGTTCTTGGAGAACCAGTTAATCTGAGCCTGGTACTAAAATTTACTTTGCATATTGATATAAAATGTGATAGCATTTCATATATATTTCAGTAACCTATGCAGCAATCCTTTAAGATTGGTCAGTTCACTGTCCTAGTACTATAGGTGGAGAGGCTGAGAGGCAGGGCTCATGTCAGGCCATGAACTAAGCTCATGACTAAGGTGAGATCTGCACTAGAGGCTGTCTGGATTGGAACACACTCCCTAGCTTCTATGTTACACCTCTCCTTTAGCAACTCAAGGGCAAAATGTCTCTGTATATGTGATTCAATAATGTATGCTGCCAACAAAACATAATTAACTTCCTGCTGTTTAATAAGGTGGCTTGAAAATCTTCTATGGAAAATGTTGCAATTGTAGGACAAGAACAGAGTCACAGATGTTAAAATGCTATTTTTACCACTACAGAGCTCTTCTGCTGATTAAATCAGAGTCATTCTATGGGTGCAATTCCCTGGGGGAATAAAGGCCCATTGTGACATATGGGTTGTCTAATTTAGTTGAGTTCCCAAATTTGTCATGCACTCTCTTCTCAGAAGGAAGAATCAGGTCCCCTGCAGACCACATCAGTATACCTATGTAGAAGAAACTATCACTGGCATCCATTAAACTTATTTACAAAGTAATGCATGTATTTATCAGGGAGATAAGGTGGGGGGGGGGAAGTATCAAGAAGCAATTAACTGATCTGTTTTCCCTTTGTTGTAAAAACTGAACTTGTCAGTCATTTTTTGCTCAATTAATATGGTCAAGCATGCCAAAAAGATAACAAATAATAAGCTGCTCAGTTCCCAATAAGAGAGTGACTATGTTAATTGAGACTGGTACAGTAAAAGACAATTATTTTGTAAATGATTATTTATAAATAATGCTTTCACGTACATCAATATGAATTGGAAAATCACTATACTATTTATTTTGTTTCATAGCAACCTACCTATAGCTCTTCCTTTGTTTTGACATGGTTTGATGTAAATTTATATGGACTTAATTTGAATAAGGAGTCAAAATGTAGAGAAAGGTGTGATTTCACATGCACTTCAATCCTAATCACATCTATGTGGCTCTAAATCAAACAAATTTCCATGGACATCTCTGAGTTTCTTTCTCAACCTTACACGGCTGGGTCAATTTCATTTAGAAGTCTTCATATTAAAAGCTGAATATCTAGAGATGTTCTTATTTTGCTCATCCCCAAATCTGTATAAAATAAAGTCTAAGGATATGGAGCAAAATAGAGTAAGAATATTATGAATTATGATAGCTTTCATTGAAAAGACTTAATCTTAATGATTAGCATGCAACAGTAAAACCATGACTCCACAAAACTGTTACAAATTACACGTTATTCATCTCCTATTATTCTTCAGCCAAAACTATAACCTCACCCTGCATTGATCTAGACTTGAGTCTATAACAAAAAGTGCAAGTGTGCACTGAATACAAGCCTAGGATTCATTCTCCTCCTCTTTGAATACTTTGAGAAAGGCCTTTCTATCTTAGAAGCACTTCTTTAGAGGATGTTTTCATTGAAGTTCCTGTGTAAACCCCAAGCTCTAGATTTGTAGATAAGATGGCCATATCTAGGTTCCTACACATACTTACCAGACATAAGAAGTCTCTGTGAAATGAATTGAATCTATTTCCAAATAATAAAGTTTAGGGCTGAGATAAGACAATGCCTTAACAAATGTTTGTCTTGCCATTTTGATTACCAAAAAGGTGCTTTTCTCATCACACACAACTACCCACATTCAAAGACTGTCATTTAATTAACAGCAACATCCTTTATTTTAGAAAAGCACTGTTCGAATGCCAAAAGAAAAAAAAGTCATTTATTTAACTCATACCTAGAGGACTTCAGTACAAGAAGCCATTGCACACTGGCCAGAAAACTTCAGTTATTGGACAGTTTAAAAGTGAAGTATTGGGAAAGATCCTATACCTATGAAATGTTAGGCATTCCCAATATAAACTCCCTTCCTTGAAAATGGGCTTCCTCATATACTGCAATATACTGAAGCATGTCCAGCACAACTGAAGACCCCCTGATTTCTCCTGATTGCAGCCCTCTGTCCCTTACTCCATATGAAAGAATGGGCTTGATATATTAATTCACCTATATGGAACAAGGTTTTGAGTAGGAAAGCCCTTGAATGTGAAGATCACAGTTTGTTCCCTGTCCAGGGTGCTGTTGTCCTTGTGTAAAGAAACCAATTTACCCACCGTCTGTATTCAAGATACTGGGATATTCTCCAGGGGAAGCATGATGGTTTTAGCCCTAAGTACACCAAAATATCCACTCTTCAGTATCTCCAGTAAGAGAGAAAAGCTTTGTTCAGGCATTCATCCTTGTAGAAATGAGAAAAGGAGTAGGCAAGCAGAATGGCATTCACTTGTCCTGCCTAAACCTGTGAACTAAATCTGCAGAGTGTATAACTTAAACATATGTAGGGCCTATTCACATGCCTTTTATAGACATTCTAACAGTGCATTGGGATGGGGAAAATGTTGAAGAAGCATTTCAACCTGCAAGCATTTTTTGAACATCAGAAGTGATTGCATGTGCACAGGACTTGGTTCTGATGTTCAAACAGAATTCATGATGCACATATTCATTCTATACCGTTAGAGCACCTATAATGGACTACAGTTTGGATAAGCATGGAGATCAGGGATGGATCCTGCAGGAAATTCTAGTTTCCCCTCTTTCATATATGCAATTCTAAACATAAAGGCATGAGGTATAAGTGATTTGGGTGAATAGGAGATTAAATGTCATGCCTAGAATCTGGCAGGCAGGAGAAAAGAAGGCCACTGCAAGAGAAGTGGGTGAGTCTGTATGGAGACAGGCAGATCACCCGCTTGGTTTCCAGCCAAGCCCTTCCATGCTTCAACAGAAGTCAACCAAGAATCTTGAAACACTTTGAAGGCCAAGCTTTCATGAACTAGAAGAGCAATGGCCAGAAGGCAGATCTCCAGAAGTTCTGTACATCAACTCCCTGCAAGCCTGGCCACTGGCCATCCTAGCAGCCACTCAGGGTCTTGCAGGCCATAGCACTGGAGGTCTACCTTTTGCCCACCTCTGAACTAGAGTTCACTTCACCAGAACGCCTGAAATGGATTCCACCAAAGCTCGAGCTGTTCTTTAAAATCTTCCACACATCACAAGATAATGCTGGTGTGGCTGCACCACTCTACCGCTACCCCGCTGGAAGTTTGTGAGGAGAGAAAGGCTGTTAGAGAGGGTGGGGGAAAGGGGGGGAGGGGAGCACCAGGTCAAGGCAAAGGGTGGGGCGGGAAGGCGCGGGCCGTGGCAGGGAGTTCGAGGCGCGGCTACCTCCAAGCCCAGCTTCTGCTTCAGCACCAAGGCGGCGCACAGGTAGCCGGCGCGGCCCACGAAGAGCTCGTCGGAGCCGCACTCGAGGAAGGTGATGGGGACGCACAGCTCGCACAGCTCGCGGAACTTGCCCAGCAGCCTGGCCCAGTCCGCCCGCCCGAGCGCGTGGTAGACGAGCGTGGCGACCGCGTACACGCCCGCGCCGCCCAGCAGGAAGGCGGCGCGCGTGTCGGCGTCGCCCTCGCCCCAGTCCTCCTCGTAGCGCACGCAGGCGTCCACCAGCTGCTTGGCGGCGCGCAGGTACGAGTCCCGCGCCTGGGCGAAGTGCGGGCACTGCGCGACGTGGTACAGCATGTAGGCCACGCCGGCCACGCCGCCGTACAGCCCGCCCTGGCAGCAGCCCAGGCCGCTCGCCGCCTCGCCGCCGCCCAGCACGGGCACCTCCTTGACGATGCGGTCGATGGTGGCCGTCACCAAGGGCGTCACCGCCTCCTTGCACTGCCCGGCCAGCAGGCTGCCCTTGTAGTCGTCGAAGCGGTTGGCGAAGCAGCGCTTGCTCTCCATGCTCGGCGCGGCCCTGCGACGGACGAGCCTCCGCCGGCACCGCACGCTCGGCGAGAGATGCTCCGAGGGCGACAACGAGGAGGTGGAGCAGGAGGTGGAGCAGCGGCTGCTTGCTCTGCGGTTGGACACTGCCGGAGTGACTCGAGAGCGGAGCGGAGCGGGCCCCCTGGAGGAGGCGCGCCAGCAGCCGGCTCCTCTGCTGCCTGCTGACGGCGGAACGAGAAGCCCCCGGACAAGGCAAGGCACTGTTAGGTCATGCGGCTCTGCTCCGAAACCCCGAAGCTGCCTGGTTCAGCCCGCCAGAGCGCTTGGCGTTCTCCCCTGCTTCGGCCGTGGTTGAAATGTCTGCAAAAGACAGCAGTCCGCTCGCCGCTGCTGCGGATGCTTCTGCGGTGTGAAGCCGCCGCTCTCCCCTCAGTTATTTGGAGCAGCCGCAGCAGCTGTGAAGCTGGCGAGAATGCAACCTGTGCTGGGAACACGCCGCCTCCTTTTCCTCCTTTTCCCCCCTCATCCTCCTCCCAACTGTCCTTTTCTGCTCCTTGAAAACCGTGTGTCAAGGGCGCAGGGGAGAAAGTAATTCCTTAAAATCTGGAACGCAGCTCGTTTTAAAAGCTGGCTACTCAATTGTCCCTCGCCACGCCTCCAACTCTCTCCCATGAGTGTGCGGGGTTTGTTATAGCAGATGAATACAGATTTTTTACAAGGGCTTTATGACTATCAACCTGAATATCAGTGTGGGAGTGGAAGAAAGGGATTAATTTTTAGGAAGAGGACATACCTAACCAGTATTAGATGGCGAGGCATATATTTGAATGGCTCTCAAAATGTGTTGCTGTGGTTGTGAGTTTTAACAGAATGTTTTGAGAAGTTTTAAAATGCACTAATAAAAATTTTGCTGAAGGTTATAACAAACAAAGCTCTTCGGAATCCCACCAGTTGTGCTTCCTTGCATCTCCAGCGTTGTTACCCATACCTGTAACTCTTGGTGGCCTTCATCTGAGTGGTCCATTCATTTTTTGCTACCTGAAGTGTATTTCCTCTGCAGATAAGCCACAGAAGCCAACACCTTTGGTATGCATCCTGGCAATGACCTTGCTGCTGTTATAGAGAGCAGTAAAGCCTGCGAAGATTTTTATGGCTGTAACCACCCTTACCACCCAGTGTTTACAATGATGCATTCATTTTATATAACTTTTAGGAAATGTCAAAGACCAATTCTACTATTTATATTTTCTTTCTTGAATTACAGTTTTAAAAACACAATCAATATAGGTACAAATATAAAACATTTGTCCTTAAACCCACTGAAGGCCATTTTATTATAAATATTTAACAAGTATTATCTGACTCTTTGCTGAGCTAGCTGGCTTGTGCATTTTCCAGGGTTCACAGTGATGTGCAGATGTTATAGATATAGTTATAGATATGGTAAGTGCTCTGTGTTAAAACCCATGGTGTACCAAAGTTCTTTAAGAACTATTTACAGAAAGTCTTAAGTTTCACTGCAATAAAGGTAGAATGCATGACATTGCACTCAAGACCAGCAAAGGCTTAAAGGATGTCCTGTAAAAATGAGATGATAGTCCCAAGTTCAGACCCTGACATCTCCTTTTAAACCAATCAGGTAGCAGAGGAGGATGAGAATGGATATTTGCATACATCTTAAATATAATAAAATCTCTAAGAAGGTGGGAAGAGCTCTTCCTGTGACGCTGGACAGCCTCTGCCTGTCAGACTAGGCTAGAACTGGAGAACACATGGTCCCCAGATGTTGTTAGACTGCAATTCTCATCAGCTGTCGTGAGGTTGTAACTCACGTCTCCAATTAACTCACACAGCAGCCAGCAGTGAAACTAAAGACTTTTATTGCTATTCACTACAAGATTTACAATGTGACTGATAAGCTCTAATAACTAGCCCCTTTGCAGTCCAGTTGCTGCTCCTTCTCTGAGCTACCTCAGGAGACCACGTGGTATCAGACCTTTCTGTCTCGTCTTTCCGCTCATGGGTGGGACAGACCTCTGTCCTGTCATCATAATTGTAATTTTTGTCTTAAAGATCTCCTGACTTTAGCATTCATCAGACTTTCCGTTGAATCCTCCTGTTCTCCTGAACTCTGCTCAGCAGTTTCAGAGTCAGGAGCTGGGGGGCGACTTCTTCAGGCAGCTCAGAGCTGGAATCAGGGGAAGCTGCTCTTGCAGAAGCCTCCCCGTCAGTCTGCGGGGAGGTTGTTCTCTCAGAGGCTATGGGATCAGGCTGTAGAGAGGCTCCTTGCTCAGCAGTCTCAGACCCAGGCTGCAGAGGGGCCATCTGGGCACTGGGCCTTAAATATAAGTCCCCTTGTTCCAATGCCCGACTCTCACTTTTAGCTCCTGCCTCCTCCTCACGAGTAGATGTCTCTGTCGCGTCATCAGGCACGACACCAGCCCTAGCCAGCAAAGTCAATGGTGAAGGATGATGTGAGTTACGGTCCAATAACATAAATAAAATGGCACGTTCCCCAGCCGTGGAGTACATAATCAGAGCTAGATGGACAACCAGTCTGATTTGGCATGTGGCACCTTCCAGTGTTTCCTTGTATTGTTCACTCTGTCTAGTACAGCGCGTATATTTGTAGAGCTACAGGACTTGTATAGCTATTGCTATGGGCACCTTGGACATCGAAATGGTTTGCAATTCTCAAGTATTTTCAAATCTGAAAACTCTGCCTTAGTCCTGAGCTGCTGTTATTGCTCATGATTTATTGTACTTATACCCCACCTTTCCTCACAAAGATCCTAAGGCATCCTTAGTGAGTTTTTAAACCCCTGGCCAGCATTATCTTGTAGACTTATCAGATCCTAAACCTCTGGTCCACAGGCATCTCTTAAAACTTTTCTGCCTGAGGCATTCGTATTATGTGCTCACCCTTCCCTAGTCAGAGTTGTTTATGGGTTCTGTACGTGATGTCTAATCAGCACTTTCAGCAAGCTTTTTTTTAAAGCAGGAAACATGCAACATTTAATTGTGAAAGCAAAAGAATCCTTTCCTATGAATTTGCTCTATTTTGCTATTCCACAGTACCATCTAGAGATCATGTAACAGAAATCAAATGCTGCTTGCATTGTGCTTGGATCTCAGTCTTGCCATGACATAGCAGATTAACATCCTCCTACAGAAAAGCTTTTATGGAGCAATCCTAAACTTGTTCACTCAGAAGTAAAACCTGTATTCAGTGGATTTTACTCCCTCATAATTGCATTTTTGATAGCAAACTTTGTAATATCTTTCCACTATACAAGTACTTCCATGCACTTGTACTTTGCAAAGTATTCATTCTTCACACCTCCATGACTAGCATCTTAATTGTCCTGTTGGCTGTCCTGTTAATAATTAAAAAATAACAAGGTTTGGTGCTACAGAATTAGAGTAACTGAAATTAGTAAGGGGGGGAGGGCATCTATTTGCTCACTGAGCAGCTAGTGGGTAACTCTTTAACAGAAATGCTTGTATGTAATCTGGTATGGATGACAAAATGCATCTCTGCTGTCTTTCTATCTATTAATGGAAACTATGATCAGAAAAGGATATTTCTTTAGCTAAAATTATGGTTTATTTTAATGCAGTTACCACTTATGCAATGTTTTAATACACATTCTGAACATGAATAATTCATTATGAACATTAATGGTATGTCAAGGTGCCTTATTGGATCAGCATTAGTTACTTACCTGGGGTTAAACCAGAGGTGCCGATACAAGGCAACAAGAGTTTTGTAAATTTCATAGTGTTCACCTGCTTCATTTTCAGAATGTATTAACTGAAACACAGTAAAATTACAAATTCCAACAAATAAAATTAAAAGTATGCCATGATGTGTGTGTGTGTGATTAGTACTGAGGGGAATTGTGTAAACGTGTGTGGGAAGGTTCATCTTAAAGCTTGTAAGAATTGGATTTGAAAAGCTGTTTTGAAAGCACAATGAATCAGTTGATACTGGAGACCTGCTTGAACTTGACTGTTTGCCTAAAAGCTCCATGTATGGTTGGGGATGTGGATGGGAAGCGTCCATTCAAAACTTTAAAGCTTTAAAGCAGACAAAATCAAGCAGACTGGCTTGGACCATGGACCATAAACCCAAGAGAATGATATAGAAGACTCTTCATTCTTTTGTATTATTCTAGGATTCATTATTCTCTTATTCAAAAGTTTCAGTCTAGATAGTCTAGACTCCAGATTAAAATTGATTTCTACCTACTCTTTTTTGTTTATCCTTTCCATTGAGTTTATATAATGTACTGCAGTTTCTAGACATCAGTCCTCCCCCTCCAACAACCTCAACAGTTGTGAATAACTATGAGCAAGTCTTCTACTTGACTAATCCTATCACAGTTTGTATATGCATTGAATGTCCACCTGCTCCTGCTAGATCAGATCTGACTTGTCTTGTGAATGGCCAAGGTGTCAACATTTCCTAAAAATGTTTGAAATAAATAGAAGAGAATGACCCTCCATCTTATAAATAATTCTTATTTTTACATTACATATAGCCCATTCCCTGTCATTTATTTATTACATTTCTAATCTGATCAACATTCCAAGCTGTCAGGGCAGTGCACAACAATTTAAAACCATAAAATACAGCATCATCAATGTAAAAAACTTTTTGCAAGGAACCCAAGGCAGCTTATGTGATCATCCATGTTATTCTCACAACAACCCTGTGAAGTAGATTAGGCCAAGACTCAGTGACTAACCCAGTGAGCTTCATGTCTGAGTGGGGACTAAAATATGGTTCTCCTAAGTCCTGGGCCAAGACTCAAACCATTATACTCCACTGGTTTTCAGTAGAAGTGCTAAGGTGCACGCTGGTGAAAAGTGCTCACTTGTGTTTAACATATCCGTACTATGGTTTAAGTCCAACACAGAATATTTAAATCCACTGAAAGAAATAAAGTTAAGCATGCCTAGTTCTGCAATGGATGTCAAAATTGGTTGCTTCAACTTCCGTTAATGCTCTGAGGTGAAGTTTTATGGGTCATTTATTTACCAAAGTTGCTAGTGGAGACAATTAAGGACAATCATCTGTTCTTTGTGAGCCTTTTATTTCCCTAAAAAAGATATTTAGACTCAAGAATTTCACTTGGCTGCATGTGACTCCATGAAAATCCCCCAGGGGAACTACTGTATATGCTTTCCTTTTGTTAGAGA